TGAGCTTGTATTTATTTTCATTGGTTAATTGAAAAGTAACCACCTTAGAAGTCTTGTTGAACACAACAGTAGACCCGACCAAGATGTCATCATCATAGTAGATAGAACGGAATGAATGAGAGACATAACCAATATTTGTAGTTCTTCAGGGTATTTCGACTCTTTAGGTTGAACCATGTAGTTTGATTCTTAAATGTTCAACAACGGTTGAGATAAAGAATCATCAGTGGTTTGAGAAGGATCAGCTGCAACATTTGTGGCCGCCGTTGTTAGGGTTTGAAGGTTTGAAAGAACAGAGATGTATAAGGTAAGTGAATTTGGGGAAAAACTGTAGCCTAACCGGGTAAAGTTTGAATAAGATATCCCCAAAACCCTTATGTACTTAGACACCAAATTTGAGTTTAAAGCGGTTAACCATAAATACATGTCACATAGTTCCTTGAAAAATGGACCAGTTATCATATAATATGACACACCTGAAAAGTGATGTGCACTTTTTCTTTGAAAACCGTGAAGCAACGAAACTATCACGTCAATCAGTCGTTTTCTTGCCCCAATAAGATAAGAACCGTTACAAAACCTTCGATACAAGGCTAGGCTCATTCGCTTTTGGGATGAGAAATGACATCATTTCCAGACTTTTGAAATCTAGGTTTGGGTTGGTAATACCCAAGACCTCGATGATTTCTATGCAATTATGTGCCAACGAAAAAGTGAGAACCAAAATAACAAAAATGTGCTAATAATGACATCAATAATCATTTGATGGAAAAGCAGATGGATCCTATGAAAAGATCACTTCATTCGACATCAAGAGAGATATCCAACTGCTTTTGTGGTATCCCGTGATATACAATCAACTACTCATAGAGGTGTATTGAAGGGCTTCTTTTGAATAAGACTTCGAAGGTTGGCTTAATTTTGTTCATGATCATAACTTGACATAAGTGTGAATACAATGAGCAAAATTATTGTGTGGCCATTTGTAGTTAGTGACAAGTAAAAAATAGATTTTATTTTGAAGTGACACAAGATTAATGTGATATTCAGACATAAATCATATTCTAAGAAACATAAATTGGTGGATCTTGTTGGGTAAAATGTCTTGGGTGTAGACCATTTTATCAAGACCATTCATAACGAAGGAATACAACTTTGAATATTGAAATTAAGTACAGAAACAAATGTTTCGTGAAAACTTGAACAATATTCAATGTCAATTCCTTCAATAGTTTGGAAATAGTGGGTTTCACCATCATCACAGACTCATGAATCAGGATCATGAACACAGATTTGTGCAATATCTACATTCTAGTTGGTTTCTACCAGAGATGTTGAGGATATGCAAGTGAAGTGTGTGAATGGTGAAGAATTATGCTACTGAAAAAGGTGGTTTAAGAAACATGTTGTACCTCTACGAATGATAAGAACCAAGCAGAAATCTCTTAACTCAATATGAGAAGAGAAAGGTAGCTCTTCGACTAAGGTGAATATAGCCTAATTGGGAATGAACCCTCGTGGCAAGTGATCCGTTAAGGCTTCGACACACATTAAGTCTTTGAGGCTTAGGTTGACATATAGCAACATGCTTCGAGGGACACCTAACTAGTGTAAAGTTTCAAAAATATACGTTTCCCCTCCAGTAACAAAGCAATGACTGCCAAAATATGCTTATGTTGTTCTCTGCACTAAAAATTAGTAACCATACAAAAATAACAAAAAAATATATTTTGATTTTTGTTTTTTAATTTGAAAAGACAAAAAAGGAAAATCTTTTTGAAATTTTGGTTTTTGAAATGAAAAGACAAAAATAAGAAAATCTTTTTGAAAATTTTGGTTTTGAAAATAAACAAACAAAAAAAAAATCTTTTCGGTCTTTTTGTTTTTATAAAAGCAATAAAAGGTTACCTAATAAGCAAAGTGTAAAATATTGACATCGAGAGGAGGAACAATATATCTTAGATAACAAAGGGTAAACTGAATTGTTCAGAGCATTTTTGAAATCGAAGCATGTCAAAAGCTGAACCATGAATAGTAACATTTGTTTCATTCAGCAAAGGGTCGACTGCTCTTGCTGTTGCACTATGATGACAAACTGGGAACTGCACTTACAACAAGCATACCTAACCCTTAAAAGTCCATAGAAAATATTTTTCATCCAAAGGTTTAGTAAAAATATGAGCAAGTTGATTTGTCATTTTTACAAAGTAAACCTTGATGTTTCCATCCTCGACATGATTCTTAATAAAATGATATGAAAGTGCGATATGTTTGGTCTTTGAATGTTACACCAGACTATGGAAGATGCGTATGATACTTTGTGAATCGCAATATAATGAAATCTTCTTCATGTTGATTACGTAACAACATATTAGAAAATGTTCGAGAAGCGACACCTCCTGCCTCTGAATAGATGGCCAATTTTAATGTTGATATGGATGCAGCATCGAGGATTCCTCCCCTTAATGTTGTTGTTCCAACCACTACGCCATTTGTGAGTGACCCAATTATGACTCAATCCTCATAGCCTCCATTGAAGCGAAGAAGACATGATCCGAGGCCGGGGGTACTAATTCGGGAACATGCCTCACCAATTCATCCTGCAATCACAACATAAGATTCTATGCCAATCATTCAGACACAAGAAGGACCCAACACAGTATTTGAAGTCGGGAGCTCTTCAGCTCCTAGAGGTTCCTCCCCACCAAGGCCTTTGCATGAAATCGCCTCTGTGAGGCTTGCAAGGGCCTTGGCAACACAAGAAGCAACAAGTCTCCCTCCTCGTGGTAAAGGCATATCAATCGAGGAAGGCAACTCAGAGGGAGAGGAACCATCCAATTCAGAGCTCAAGATCGAGATTGGAGTTCTAAAGCAAACAATTATTGAGAAAGATGTCTTGATTGGAAAACTCGACATTTGAGTGTCAGATCTTGAAGCTAACGTCCAATCCAAGTCAAAGTAGATAATTGATCTCCAAACTCACCTAGGAGCATTAACTGCATGCTATTATGACTTGAAGAACAAACATTATTAAGAACTTGGTGATAAGTTCAAGTCATCAGTCGAATAGTCTGTAGCATCTGAACATTTCCCAGTGTCTCAGTCCAGCCTCCTCTAAATGACAATCCTATGGATCAACCACCTCCCAGAACCACAACAATTGTCGATCTATTCGAAAAAGAACCTGTGAATGCCATCCCACGAATCACTATCAAGAAAGCCAAGAGTAAGGTCATTATTGACAAGAAATAAGGATTACTCTTCATGTGGAACTCTGATGAGAACCGTAGTGGAGACCAGCCTCAACTCACAGTGATTGATCTTCAAAAACGGATGTTTGGTGATATATTTGGAAATAGATCAAGAATTAAAATGTGGGGATTTAATGGTAATCTGAATCTGTGGGTCGTAAAAAGGATTCATGGCCCTCCAGAATATTACAAGGATACCCAATATTTTTGTTCTTGGACAAAAATCGATCTTTCAGAGCTTTCAAAGGCCCCATTTTACAATCCCTCCAAGAATTCTAAGGCTACAGATTTCAAAATCTTTTTGGTGAGACGGGTCAAAGAAAATTTCTCTGGAATGAAGACTGCAGGATCTCTAATTAGAAAAGACAAGGATGTGCTCGATCCTCGAACTAATGATCCTATAAAGATAGTGTTGTGGCATGCTACTAAACAATTAAAATAAATTCCAATTCCTCAACATTTTGGAGATGGATATCTGGATCGGGTGGAATTCTGGGCTTTTGATGAAGCCACAGCCATTGTAGCATTGAAGTTTTCAGACAGCTACACTGTTGTTTGACTTCTTGAAGCTAGAGATCTTCTAAGGTTCATAGAAAGAGACATTCACACCTTGGCAAAACATCAAATAATCTGCAAAACGGAGATCTTGGAGGCCACTGCTAAGGAGTTCACTGGAATGGTTGCGAAGATAATTGACAACAGGCTTTGGATGGGAGCAATGGGAAATCAGATGTGAGGCTTCTAGAGAATCCAAGATAAATGAAGACTAAGATCATGCTATCCACAAACCAAGGGGGAGATTGATAGGTCATAAATTAGTGGTTTGGGCTAGTTAATCATTTATATAAGTCTTATAGGGTCTTGATCTTGTAATATGTGTGTTTGTGTCTGTTTACGGTTGAGTTTGTGTTCATGAACGTGAACTAGTTTACGGACGTAAACGTGTGTTCAGTCTTGAACCCCGTTTACGGTCAGCTTATCCCTATATATAGTGTTAGAGTCTGTCAATGTGATATGACGTATCCAGAGGCTTTTGCGGTCAACTATGTGTATCTCAAGGTGTACCCAACATTTTTGCTAATAAAAGTGTGCATTGCTTGATAATCTTCATTTTCTTCTTCATTCTTGTTTGTGTTTGTTTTGATCACTGGTTTGGATCATTGTATTGGGACTCTACAATTTTGAAGGTAATGACTATCCTGTTTTACAAAGTCATTTTGGCTTCGATTCACTCCAAATGGACTGACCAGTCAAGTTAACTTTTGAGGCAACTGGTAGTCTTAGTGGCTTTATGAAAGCATCTTATGTGGACACATCTACTAATATGGGTGATTCATTTACTTTATCCATCCCTAAGAAGACTTTAGTCATACCACCCGAAGTTTCGAGTATCAAGTCCATTTCGGAGGAAGTACGAACTTCAAGCATCACTGTGGACATATCTGATATGGACACAAATGTCAACATGGGTGAAGGGATATCGACACACGAAGCCCATGTTATTTCGAATGTTTCTACTTCATCTGTTCCCATTTCTATAATTACTTCATCCACATTTGAAACCACTATTATGGATACTTCTACTTTGTTACTACCATTTATTTCACCCATTCCCACATCCTTACCTAGTTCTACCATATCACCCCTTTTTCTAATATCATGGATTAGCCTATCACCTCTTTATTTTTGTCTCAATCCACTGAAGGACCCAAATCAATTCCTGATGATAACACATAAGATGATGGTGTTATGGTTTCTTTCGCTAAAATACAATTTGATCTCGAGGAGAACATTCCCGATCACATGCTTATGTTTGGTAAGCAGTTCAAGATCCTTAATCAAAAGCTCAATTCTTTGTTACAACTTCAAGCTAATGCTGGAAGTCGTAATAGTGTATCCGGGATTGAAGTTGATGTCATACTCAAAGCTCAAGTACTTCGTTTGAAATCCTTGATGGAACAAATTGATACGAAAACTTAAAAACTTTTGAAGCATCAGTTTGATTCATTTGTTCATGAGGTATAGAATTTTAGGGTCTTTGCAAAAGAAAGACATATTTTATTTGCTGAATCTGTTAAACAAGTACATGAGGATGTTAGTTTGAAAATTGAAGAACTTCTTTCTGAAATGGCAAAGTAGGTTGTCAAGCTTGATCACAATTACTCAGTTCTTAACACTAAAGTAGATATTGTTCCTGCTGCTGTTACGAAAGTCGTTGAATTTCACAGTTTTCTTCGTACCAAAATTGATAAAAAGTCGGAATATGATTCTCAAAGCTTTGCCAAATTGGAAGAGTTATTGGGAAGTTTAAAAGAGTTGCTTTCGAAGCTTGGTTCTTCTCTACAGTCTTCGATTTCTCCCGATTCATTTTCTCATATGTTTTCTTCATTGGAGTCTACTCTCAAGGCTGCCTTGGATCCACTTCTAAAAATGATTAATTTGCTGCCAACCGGTGCCCCACTAGTTAGAACAGGGGTGCAAGGGGGAAAAAGGGTGTTGGAGGGTAAAGAGATTTAGATAAAGGGAGTTACCAGGGATACCTCTGGAGAGGCAAGTCGAGTTTCGGATTGACTTGATGCCAGGTGTGGCCCCTATCACCAAGGTGTCGTACCAATTGACGTCACCAGAGATGCATGAGCTGTCATCACAACTGCAGGAACTGCTGGGCAAGCAGTTCATTCGTCCGATCAGTTCTCCCTGGGGAGCACCGGTACTCTTCGTCAACAAGAAGGATGGTTCACACCGGATGTGCATCGACTACAGGGAGTTAAACAAGTTGATGGTGAAAAACCGTTATCCACTCCCGAGGATAGATGATCTCTTTGATCAGTTGCAGGGAGCATCCTGGTTCTCCAAGATAGACCTGAGATCTGGGTACCATCATGTCAAAATTAGGGAGGAGGACGTGGAGAAGGCTACATTTCATACTCGTTATGGACACTACAAGTTCGTGGTGATGCCATTTGGGCTTACCAATGCCTGACCAGTATTCATGAACCTGATGAATCGGGCCTGTAGAGCGATGCTCGAACGCTCGGTCATCATGTTCATAGCTGATATCTTGGTATATTCCAAGACCCGAGAGCAACATGAGGAGCATCTGCAAGAGTTATTGGGCGTTCTAAGGTGGGAACGACTTTATGCTAAGTTCTCGAAGTGTGAGTTTTGGTTAAGGGAGGTTCAGTTCCTCAAACATCTCGTTAACTAGGAGTGGATTTTGGTCGATCCGGCCAAAATCGAGGCAGTTATGCAGTGGGAGGTCCCAAAATATCCTTCGGATATCAGGAGTTTGGATTGGCAGGGTACTACTGGAGATTCATACAGGACTTTTCCAAAATTTCAGTACCCCTCACCCGTCTGACGAGGAAGGGGGGGGGGATTTTCGGTGGGGCCCCAAGCGGCAGAGGGCGTTTAAGACCCTCCGACTGCGACTATGCGAGGCTCCAGTCTTGATATTCCCAGAGGGAGTTGAGGATTTTGTATTATTCTGTGGTGCATCTATCATGGGATTGGCGGAGTCCTCATGCAGAGAGGACGGGTGATAGCCTACACATCGCGACAGCTGAAGCCACATGAGACAAGATACCATACTCACGATCTGGAGTTGGGAGCGGTGGTATTTGCTCTCAAGATTTGGAGACATTCACTCTACAAGGTCTGTTGTACCATATACATGGATCACAAGAGCCTGATACACGTCATGGATCAGCCGAACCTGAACATGAGACAATTTAGGTGGTTAGATGTAGTCAAGGACTACGACTATAAGATCCTTTACCACCCAGGTAAAGTGAACATGATGGCGGATGCTTTTAGCTGCAAGTCAGCTGTGTCTTCCATCCCAGCGACATGTATGAGGATATCAATGGATTCTCCACTTGTGAGTTTGATTAGAGATGCTCAGGCTGAGGGCATGCGACCAGAGAACTAGAAATTGGAGAGGATTAGGGGTGAGAACACCCGATTTCTGCAGGATAGTCGGGTATTGTTGACCCGATGTGGTCGGGTATGGGTTTCGAGGTCTAGTGGAGTCAGGCAGACGATTATGGAGGAGGCTCATAATTCTCACTTCTATATTCACCCGGGAGCCACTAAGATGTACCGGGAATCGAGTTTTAGATACCGGTGGCCGTGCATGAAGCGAGAAATCGCTTGGTACGTCGAGAGGTGCTTGACATGTAGGATGGTCAAGGCCGAGCATCAGAGGCTGCATGGCAAGCTGCAGCCCCTAGAGATTCCCATGTGGAAATGGGAACATATCACGATGGACTTCATTGCCAAGTTGTCAAGGACGGCGAAGGGATATGATGCTATATGGTTCATCGTGGATCGATCGATCAAGAGTGCCCACTTATTGGACATACGGGAGAGTTCGTCGACCGAGAATCTGGCTGACGTGTATGTCTACGAGATTGTTGCTCGCCACGGAGTTCTGATCTCCATTGTTTACAATCGAGAAGCTAGATTCACCTCCCGCTTCTGGCAGAAGTGTAACATTGTAAATTTTCAAACAAAATTTTCATTTAAAAATCACATAATTCTCATAACACGTTTTACGAAAATCCCATTTAATTCATTTACAAAATATAACTTTATAATTATTTAATAATATTAATCCAGGATCCTCAAAACATAACTCCTTCTCTGGTGTGTACAACCGAGCGGGTGCCTTCCCGCGATTCTGAGAAAAACCTAAAACACATAACACGGTAAGCACTAAGCTTAGTGAGTTCCCCAAAACACCACGCACATATAATTAGCCACTCGAGGCTATAGCTCTGTAAGAACCTCTGGTCAATTTGTCACAGTGGGACCCTACAGTCCCACAACTCTGATGGACCCTCTGTTCCTAACTCCGTGGACCCTCCGGTCCCAACTCTGTGAACTCTGAGTAATACACAACATAAATCACAAAGAAATAATGCAGTATATCACGATACACGGATAAACACATAAGAAATCTCTATCACACAAAATACCACTCATGGTAAAGTATAATTAGGAGACTTACCTCGGATGATGAACAACCCCGATAAACGCTGCTGCTATGCACCTGCCTCTAAATCTGTGCCAAACCTACAATTATCCCAATTAGGAACTAAGTCCCATCTCTCACTCATTAGGTCTAAAAGTAGTCCACTAACCAGCCCATCAATGACCTAAACCCCATTGGGCCTACCAAGGCCCAATAATAAATGGGCTCTCCTGAGGCCCAACTCTCTCACATCTAATGGCAAGCCCAACTCAAGGGCCCAAAGCACATATATATAATCCTCTGGTTCAAGACTCTATTGCAACCAGTCCAAACTCTAGGCCCAAAATGAGACTCAACCCCAAAAGTTCACAGTGAGGTTACGCAGGGCATACCTCTCTTGGTACGCTCAGCGTACTCACAAATCCATATTGGCCATCGGGGACACTGGGGCAGTACGTAGGGCGTACAGGAATTACGCTCAACGTACTCCCCATATTCACTCTTTCTACTCATTTGGTCTTAAACAATTAAGACATTACATTAAACCCCATATCTGGACTCCCTAATGGCACTTACTCCATAAAGTCAGTGAGTTTAAGCCTTTGCATGGCTGGAAAGGTCACCAAAACCCAAAACACTCACTTCCTTATCTTAAAAACCTCCTATATCATGCATGGCTTGATTCCAACATCCAAGATTGGATTTTTATGACATAACACCACTAAATGTACTCAAAGGGACATATATTAGACTCTGGAGTTCAACAACTCATAAAGCTTCAAGCTTTGGAACCAAAAACCCTAAAATGGACTCAAAAAAAAAACTTGCACAACAATAAGGAAGTTCAAAACTTGATACCTCTGGAAGGTGCACCAACAAGAGAAGAAAAAAGATCTAAAAGCTAGGTGCTCAAGCTATTCTCTTTCAAAGCTTCTTCTTTTTCAAAAGCCAAATATAACAAGTGATCACCCCACTAGATCCATATGAGAAAGCCACCAAGATTCAAACTTTATCCTTCTGAAGCTAGATCAACATGATTAGGGCTTGGATCCACAAGCTCCAAGCCATGCAATACTTCCTCAAGGAACTCCTTCTTCCACAATATGAACAAAAAACTCACTAAATCACCAAAATGCTCAAGAATCACTCAAATGGAGGCTTAGGGTCGATTTCTAGGGTTTATATGGAGGCTAAAGATATTAGGGTTAGGTTATAAGATAAGGAGCTTAAATAAGGTCCAAGACCCTAAAATAGGGTTCAAGTCTGATTGGCGTATGCCCAACATACTCTGAAGAACATTCGCGACCACCCCTGGTCAGTACGCCCAGCGTACTCCAAAAGTATGCCTAGCATACTTCCTTCTTCACTAGTACGCCCATCGTACACTTTGTGTACGCCCAGCGTACTCGGCTAAGCCTGCAACCACAAAACTTCTGAAGGCCATAACTTCTTCGTTATAAATCCGTTTCTGACGATCCTTATATCCACGAAAAGGTAACGAGAAGCCCTACACTTCCATCAACTTTATTCCTCCTGAATCCCACTCAAACTCAGATCCAAAATTCATGAAAATCCTGCACCAACGCCTTTAACAATACATTTGGGCTCTAAAGCACAAATCGAACTCTTTTATCACATAACCTACCTTACCCATATCCCAAAAGGGACTAAACCTTTCTCCTTCAAAGTCTCAAAACCTTCTCATACTCAGATTAAGGCCCACAACCTTAAATCACAAAACAATTTGGAACAAGATGTCACAAGAAGTTCCACGAGGAGTTAGGCACGTGGATGGATTTTAGCAAAACATATCATCTGCAGACTGACAGCCAGAGTGAGCGGACTATCCAGAAACACGAGGGCATGTTGAGATCTTATGTCATCTATTTTGGCAGGAGCTGGGATTCCCACCTACCCCTTGCAGAGTTCGCCTACAACAACGACTATCATTCTAGTATTGGTACCCCACCTTTTGAGCTGTTGTATGGGCGGAGATATCACACCCCGGTATGTTGGGGTGAGGTTGGTCACAGAGTGATTGGGTGGACAGAGGTAGTTTTAAAAACTACTGAGAACATTCTACAGATTAGACAGCGGTTGCAGACTGTACAAAGTAGACAGAAGAGCTACACCGACCGAAGCTGACCAGAGTTAGAGTTCCTGGTCGGTGACATGGTACTCCTAAATGTCTCACCCTGGATGGGTGTGATCCGCTTCATGAAGAGGGGGAAATTGGGTCCCCGATACACCGGGTCGTTCAGGGTGTTAGGTGCATTTCATGTACCCATTTTGTTGCTTTATTTCATAAAAATACATTGCATATAGGCTTAAACTCATGCATTTTGCATGTTTTTCGGGATTTTTCATGAGGCGATTTCATTCAAATACTTTTGTGATATTTCAGGGACTTTTGGAGGTAGGATATTGTTGGAGGAGGTAAATAAAAGTTGCGGACAAAATTTCAGGACATGCAGAGCACCGAGGAGCAATATTTTTGGCTTTAAAGAGATTTACAAGGCCGTGTAGATGCAAGCCTTGCGTT